AGCATTTTGAGGCGTGGCCACACTGCAATCGATACACATGGTGGCAATGGGTTTGAGGCAAAGCCTTGACCTTGATCAATCACTTGGGTCGGCAGTGATTCGGTCTCGTGATGACAATGCATCTGATTCTCAAACAATCCAGTAGAGTTTCGACTAACAGAGATTTTGCGATGTTTGTGGCTTTTAAACTATTTTTGACTGCATTTCAAAATGAATGTACGTTAGTCCCCATTCCTCAATGTTTACCTTTTTCTGTTGCCAGTGGGGTTAGGCCCATGTAGACAGTGACTGGAGTGTAAACACTATCAGGTCTTTTATTTTACCTCTACGGATATACGTGATTCTGCAATTGCTGCCAGTGCCTTTTATGGTCCAAGTCTCTGTGATTCCACTTTAATCTTCTGGTGTCAAACATGAAGGAAGTAGATCATAATAGTTTCCGGATAGCCACTTACGAGCGCAGTGATCTTCAGATTTTCTTCAAACGGATGTGTTATCTTCATAGCCTCGTGGACTTATGGGAAGGTGCCCGATTATTTATACTAGAGGCCTTTGTACTAAGCCCTGGGGTAGGGTTAAGGTAATTACTGCTCCATCTGGAGTGTCATTCTCTGAGAAAAATTCGCGATTTTCATCATATACGTATTATTTCAATTCAAACGATGGCTGTTTTAAAGTCAAGAAACCAATGAAGTGGTAAGTGGTATTTGACTAGACTAGAATACCATCAAATCTTTCAGTATGGCTTCTACTTACAAACGTTTATCGAGCCAAAACGCCATCAGCCAGTTGGCATCTGACACTTCATCGTTTGCTTGGCCAAATAGACACCACGTTTTAGGAAAATTTAACAAGAGCATTCCTGTGATATAAAGACAGAAGTCATCGAGGGTTTCTCCAATACTGCTGCAAAAAAGGTTCTCCTTTTGTTACCCTCTTTTACAAGGTCCGATTGTACCGCTGCTATTTTGCTAGTCTCGATGTACCTCAAAGTCTTAGGAGCCTAGTGACCTAGAGCGTCTAGCTGCAAGTGTGGCCCGAGGAAATAAAATTCCCCCGCATGCGACGAAAATGATAGTTCGTGTCGGAGCTTCCTGGCACAGTAATAATGGATCAGTTGCG